CCCTGAGCCGGTGAGATTTGAACCGCTGAACTGCTGATCTAGCAGTAGCCTGCAGTGCTGCATTTAACCACTGCGCCACCTTGGCTCTTGATTTATATTCGGGATGCTTGGCAACTGGCTCACAGTTATGACGGTCCTGGGGCGTGTATGTGTCGGTCGCAGGGTCCTGGGGTGCGTGTGTCATGTGATCCCCTTTTGCGACCGTCTGACAAGCCAAGTCAAGGGGGAAGCAAGATTCACTTAACAACTTAAAAAACTACAGCAATTTGCTTAACAACCGTGGCAAAATTCACGTAGCATGTTTTCTCATTCAGCAACATACATTTTGGCTCAATTGTCATAAGTTGAGGACTACCTGTAATCTCTTTATTTCTCAATCTCTATTCAGGGAGTCCTCATTTCAGTTCGTAAGTCGTGACACTCGTAAATTGGGCCAGTTCCTAAATTTTTACGACTGCAGCGATTCACTTAACAACGGTGGGAAAAAAGGATCGTAAAATGGGGATTAGCAAAATGTTAATTAGCAACGGACGTTTTGGGCTCCACTGTGGTCATAAGTTGAGGACTATCTGTATTTTTGGACCCGCACGCACCCTTTCTCCAAAGCCAGCTCTGAACAGTTAAATAAAATCTGAAAATGTTATATAGGATGGTTCTTAATCAAATTATCCTCAATGGCCTTGCTATCTTTGGATCCCAGTTTTACGTTCTGTATTTTGTAACTGGAGATAAGCTTCGATTTTTGATTTGGTTTTTTCTTTTCCCAAATCCATTAGGAAACAATAAAGCTCCTAAAACATAAAAATCTGGAATAATTGCCACTATTTTTGCCCTTCATTCTTTAGCCAGCGATCATCAGATCCGGCTTTTCAATTTCCTGCACAACCGTGTGACTTTTTCAATGATTTGGCCAAGATGTTGGATATCAACTTCCTGCCCTTCCGTGGCCTGGAATAGGCCTACAGTTGGTCTTTGACTTACAACGATTTGTTTAGTGACCACCGGCACTGGGGAAAAAATGACTTATGACCACGTTTCACACTTATGACCTTTGCAACATCCCCATGTTCGTGTGATCATAATTCCGATGGTTGGCAACCGACTCATATTTATGACCCTTGAAGCATCCCAGGGTTATATGCTCCCCTTTTGCAAAGTCAATGGGGGAGTCCCGATTCACTTAACGACGGTGTTACTAACTTAACAACGGCAGCGGTTCTCTTAACAACTGTGGCAAGAAAGGTTGTAAAATGAGGCAAAACTCTCTTTAAAACTGTCTGGCTCAGCAACAGACATTTTCAGCTCAATTGTGGTCACACGACAGGGTTTCGGATTCAACTTTCAAGACTCCGGAGCCCATCTGGAGAGGAGGAATTCTCTAAACCAGATACATGGAACCTCGGCAACCTTGAGGACTTGTGGGACGTCGACTCCCAGAATCCCCCAGCCAGCCCTGCTCCTGGGGAACTCTGGGAGTTGAAGTGCACAGGCTCTAAGGTTGCCAAGGCTGAATACCCCTGCTCAAAATCAACATCCACAGACCGGAACATCTGCCCAGTTGTTCCCTTGGTGAAGATTGACATCCCTGACCAGGTGTCCGTCCACCAGGTGGATTGTTCTACACCACCTCCTACATTTCTCAAAGAGACCCTTCCCATCCTGGGGTTGTTTGGAGGCAGGAGAAGACACACCTTCCAGGAGAATGAGCCGAGGTGGCGCAGTGGTTAGGGTGCA